CCGGACTCCGTGATCATATTGCTTGTTTGAGTGTGCTTTGGCGTTCATTCATATTTATGTTCATATCTTATATCGCCATTGTCATTAGCTCATTATCTATATCATCCACTATCTTGTTTAGATTGTTTACCCCTTGTGTTAGTTTATATATCCTTGCATATATATTTCATCATATAGGATATATCTCTTGTTTACATTGCTTATCCTAGCTTATATATTTTGTTATATTTCATACTTGCTAGGATAACTTGTTAATTAATTTTAATTGACATTTAAATCGGATTAGATTAGCATAAGACCCTAATCACCCCCCTCTAGGGTCTAACAGACCAGAAGTTCAAGCTAGGTGCTGAGGCTGGAGAACCAGTTGATCGTGACAGATATCAGAGGCTGGTGGGAAGGTTAATCTATTTGAGTCACACACGTCCTGATATCTCTTTTGCAGTGAGCGTGGTGAGTCGCTACATGTACGATCCGAAGAAGGATCATATGGACGCTGTGTACCAGATTCTGAGATATTTGAAGAGTGCCCCCGGAAAGGGGCTGATATTCAGAAAGAATGGACATGTAAGCATCGAGGGTTATTGTGACTCAGATTGGGCTAGCTGTGCTGATGACAGGAGGTCCACCTCAGGATACTGTATCTTTATAGGAGGCAACTTGGTCTCGTGGAAGAGCAAGAAGCAGTCAGTGGTGGCGAGGTCAACAGTTAAAGCAGAGTATAGAGCTATGGCCTTGGGAGTCGCGGAATTGTTGTGGTTGAAGAGTATGTTGGTGGAGCTGAAACTGGATCAAGGAGCAAAGATGAAGTTGTGGTGTGATAACAAGTCAGCCATCAGTATCGCTAATAACCCGGTGCAGCATGATAGAACCAAACACATCGAGATCGATAGGTTCTTCATCAAAGAAAAGTTGGACAGTGGACTACTGGAGTTAAGTCATGTTCCAACTAAGGATCAGGCAGCAGATTGTCTGACTAAGGGACTTAGCTCAGTAGATATGATTAGAGGATGTGACAAGATGGGCTTAGTGGATATCTTTCGCCCATCTTGAGGAGGAGTGTTGACATATTAGTAATAGATAGGGTGTTATTTGTAAGTTGTGTAGTAAGGGCCTATATAAGCCCATCTTATGGAGTAATAAAGTTAGGGTTTTCTCTCTATTTTCAATAGGCACGTTGAACTTATTTCTCATCATGTATGGAGTAGAAACTGAGCAGATGTTTCACCTGATATTACCACCCATATATGTTCTTTTTAGGAAAAAATGGAAAATCAAGTCAACACTTGGGAGGTCCTCTAAATGACAATGGCGGCATCGTCTTTTTCCGAAAGTTTTGAGGATGGGTTTGGTAGTGGAAACGAACATGGAGGAGGTGATAGTAATACGTTATTGAGTGAGAGTGCAATCCTTTGATTTGGTGGAGATCTCAATAGCAACCCAATCGACTGTTTTTCCTTCTCCGTCGTCAAGTTGCCGACTTGGTCAATAAGTAGCGAAATCTAAAGCCTCATCATCAACTGCAACAATTTGTCACCCTATCTCCTATTGCACACAACTTTGCCCTTTGTTGCTCAACAATACTTTTTAACAGCTTCATTTCTCACCTTCCATTGTCGGAGTGCTCAAGAGTATTGCTAGCCTGATCCAATTAGGTAGGATTATTTGAAGTGAATCATGTCATGTGTAGCAAAATAGTTAGAGTTATCATTTAATTTGTTGTGTTAGCTAGTTTAGTTTATTTGTTTGTTAACTAAGAAAGTATATCAGAGAGATGTAACCATTTGGATACTCTAGCGATCAATTGATAAGATTTCTTATCTCCTTGTTCTACTCTCTTTCTTCCTTGGTTTCCTTTATCTCTCTCTTTCTTTCTAATTCTTTTTCTTTACACCTAAAGATTCATGGCAAGAGGTGGACTGCGATCAGGTCATCTGACAAAGTGGTATCAAAGACAACCTCATCTTCCTATTGCAATCGAGTGTCGGGTGGTGACACCGGTATTATAGAGTTCACCTGGCTGAGACTAGTTTAGTGCAAAGCAAAAGGAGTGACATTGGCATTCGACCAGGACTAGACTAGTGCCCAGCCAATCCACGTGAGAACTGAGATTGGGAGTGTGGTGGTATGTTAGGTTCTATTTACTTCTACATAGGTTATTGAGGTAGTTTGACGTCGGTTTATAAGGGATTTGGGTCCCCCTCTCTACAAGCTAGCTTTTAGGGATGAATTCTCCTCAGTCCTTTATAGGATCATCTATTATCTACCAAATATTTAGCATCACTGTTTCTAGTTTGAGACATTTATTGCTTCAAAGATGTCTCCTTCGAGTAGATCCAACTTTAAGGATGCTTTAGAGAGAAAAATCTGGGCTGGATCTTGTCTAATGATCCGAAGAAGCTTTAATAATTTTTAATGAGTCTTTGTAACTATTGAGATAACTCCAACATAGTTGTTACACATGGATCTAGCGTCTAGAGATTGCATTGTGATATTTAGACTTGTACTCAAAGTTAGGGATTTCATTTTGGTAGAGTTACTTTGATGGTTGTTGCCGATGCTCTCTTTCTCTGACTTGTTTTTCTTCTCTATGATATCTCATATTTTGGTTTGACGCATTAGTATTATGAAGTGCCATTTTGTTATCATTTGGCCAGAGAATGGTGAAATTAAACAAGAGAATTGTTGTATTTTGGTTGGTTCCAAATCTTAATGGATTGTTACTTCATAAGCATTTTCCCACAAAAAAATTGAAGAAGGCTCAAATTGAAGGACGCGTGTTTAAAATAGACGATAATTCTTGTGACGATTGAAGGAGGATGAAAGATATATCAATATAGGGATTGAAATATCTTAACTAGTCATAACTTTATCCTTACCATCATATTGATTGCCAATCATTTCTTGTGTCCAGTATGAGCCTTCTTCAAAATTTTTCTCAAAAATGCTCATCAAGAAAGTGGGACAAATTAAGATACTTGTACTAATATGATCGAAATATCTTAATTAGATTTGTCAGGAAGACTCAAATTAAACAAGAAATGATATGATAAAAAATTTATCTTAACTGGTCTTACTTTTATCTTCTCTATGGATGCCTCAAAAAGGCTCGAATTCAACAAGATATGATTAGTAATCTGTTTTGACAAATTCCCAATGATAAGCTAATATCAATCACACGAGAACACGAAAAATATCAAAAACACACGAACACAAAGATATACATGGTTCGACTTGTAACCTATGTCCACGGCCGAAGGAGGAGAAAAGCTTTATTAATTGTGAGGAATACAAAGAGAAATCTCTCAATCCCAAATCACACCCCAAAAACCTAATACAACTCTCAACTAAAAGAACAAAAGAGAAGAATATCAAATAGACTTCACAAAAGAGCTCTCTCTTCTTGATTGGTGCTCTGAAGATTGATTAATCTAATTGGCTTGAAAGAATGTTCTTATATAGCCTTGAAGATCCCAGCTCCTTGCTGTCTAAGGAATAAGAGTTCTAATAAGAATAGAAGTCCACATGTTCTAAAACCCTACAAGAGTCTAAGTAGAAATAAACCTCTAATATGATTGGTTGTGCAAAGTCTAATGTAAGTAGGACTCTTGATCAAAATAAACCAAGCTAAAAAGAAACTCCCAAAACAATATGGATTTGAGTATTTGAGGCAACCTATAACATAATCAATATGACTTTTGGCAAAAAGATATATTAATATGATTTGAAATATTTTAATTAGTGATAATCAATATGACTTTTGATAGAAAGATATATTAATACGATTGAAAGAACTTAATTAGTCCTACATTTATCTTTTCCATGGGTTCTACCATAGGAAATGATACAGCATTTACCTGGTTGTTGAGGTACCCAAGGAGGGAAGGGTAATGACTCAAGATAGATTGGTAATCAGTATGACTTTTGGTCAGGACATAGGGTTCCTACCAAATAAGAGATGTTAACTCGTTGTCAAAGTAACAAAAAGGAATAGAGAATTGTCTTGAGAATCGTGATCAGAACCAAGGGCAAATGGTTCCTACTAAAGCGAAAGATTCACAACTTATCTGAGAAAGATTCACAACTTATCTTGTTGTCCATGCTTAGCCAAGGAGAGTTAAGGTATTGGATCAAGATAGACATGAGATCAATATGTTTTGTTTGTAAGGACATAGAGCCCCTCCCCCATTAAGAGAGGATCAAAAGCTTAATGTGTTCTCAATGTAACCAAGAAGGGTTAGACCATTGAGTCAATATTTGCGATAGGACGTAAAGATTGTAGGTAAAGACACATGGGTAATTTCGGTTGGCAGAGTGCAATTTGCTTTGTCTTTGTTGCAACCAAGAAGAGCTACAACCTTGAATCAAGATAGAATAGTGAAACTTTCGTCAGTTGATTGTCATTTAGAGAATGAAGTGTTCAACTGTTGTTTGGTTGTCCTTTCTGTACCACCATTTGAGAACTCCAACCTGTGTGGCTCGGACTGAAATTTGGCGAGAAGCAATCCGATAAGCGAGAAGGTCCATTGTCACGTGCATTTAGTCAGGCAACATTTTGACATGGTACATCATTCGTTCTCATCTTTGGGTTATTAAATGCATTAGGTTTCGTATGTGTTGTCCTAGGGGAATCATTACAAATGTTTCATTATTATCTTCTTAATGAAATGCAGGGGCCTGGGGGTTCTGGCGTCCCAGTTTCTCTCAAAATGTTGGGAATCCCTTATGATACACAGAGTCCCTATGTCATTCTCCATAAGTGTACGCGCACACTGCGCTCGAGGAAGACTACTTGATCATCTATACTACGAACCATTCTATCGGTAATCGCAATCTTTGTAGAAGAAGTTTTTTGCCATTTTAACAAACACCATGTTCGTCCAATACTATTTCCCGTTTTCTCGTGCACAAATTAGCAAAAATTCTGTTATACTTGTAAGAAACCACACAACCGAAAAGCAATGTATCGTTCATAGTCAACTTAATTCAGAAGGAATGTACTAGACACTCACATTGTGCTTGAGGAAGACGACAGAATCATCCCTATCCCCGGCCCCTCGGCACATCTTCGCAAACCCCTTCTCTATGTACTTGCAGCTCCCGCACGAAGTCCGGTAGAAATCGACCACAACCAGAGACTTGGTCTCCTTTGACTTCTCCAGTATCTTTAGGAACTCCTCGTCAGTGTAGAACTCCCTCACACAGTCAACAGGGCAAAGTTCCTCATCCTCATCAACGCTTCCACTGCTCTCAACGGCTCTGAGCCTGCGGTTCCTCTTGCCCAACTTGAGATCACTCGTAATGGGCAATAATCTTAGGTTGGAAGCTGGGGTTGGGAGGGAGAAACTAGGGATCAAAGGAGAAGGAGTTGAGTTTGGAACAATTGAGGCTGGGTTTTGAAAGAGAGAGCAAACGGGCATCATGTTTTGCTATCTATGACGAGGGCATGAAAGTCATACATCGAGGTTTCTGAAAAAAAAAATAGGGGTTACGCGAGAGAAATGAAACCGGAAGAAGAATGTAACCCTTCTTCTTCTTCTCCGTGTTTCTTTTTTTTTTTTTTTTTTTTTCCCG